ACATACATACATACATACATATATATATATATATATATATATATATATATATAGCCGAGGCAACGCATTCCCTACTAGTTCACCTACCGTTACGACGGGGGGGGATTGCATTGGTTGGCAGGAATGATCATTTGGCAACTCTCCGAGTTGTTGGTGTTATTGATGGGGTGATTCAGGATGCAGATGCACCGGGCCACTTGACCGGTCTTCTTAACACGGCCTGTGAGAAGGGTTGTGAGGTTTATTCAGTTTTATTAAGAATCCCAACATTTGCACTGTGGCAATCATGGTGCGGTACGGTGCGTGGTGACTATTCTGTTGCACGCAAGAAGACATGCTTCTACGCGAGTGTGAACGTACGACAGGGTGGACGGGTGTGAACATGAAAGATAGGGGCAGACAGAAAGGCATCTCATAAGTTGTAATATTGTTGGATATATGTATAAGATTCACTTGGATATGGATAAGCATCTGCCTGTGATGTGTGTGTAGGCGATTTGGTAAGTATGTAATATCGTTGAATGTATATATAAAATTCATTCGCATACATCTGCCTGTGACGTGCGAGTAGGCATATAAAAAAAATCATACGCAATAAGACTATCATACCACAGCAACGTCCATAAGCCTGCGCTAATGTACATACCACTGAAGTATGAAGGGTCCCCTATGACCATCTTCGTCTTGATGACATTGTCGCCGGATTTGACGCCCACAACCTTGCCCTCCTCCATAACAATTTCGTCCACAGGTGTGTCCAACATGTAGGTACCCCCATACACGGCCGACAGACGTGCGAACCCCTGGGGCATCTCGCCTAGACCGTATAGGGGGTAGATATAAGGGGACTTGCCGTAGCGGGCCAGAGAGGACTGGTATAGCTTGATCTTCTCTACAGCATCGCGGAAGGACTTCTTCTTGTAGCTGATGAGTACACGGCCAGCAATATGCAAGAAAACAAACAATGAGTGGATGGTCATGAGGATGGTATACATATTTAATATGTAGTTGTGTATGTATGTATGTATGTATGTATGCATGTGTATGTGTGTATGTATGTATGTATGTATGTATGAATGTATGTATGTATGTATGTATGTATGTATGTATGTATGTATGTATGTATGTATGAATGTACGAAAGTATGTATATGTACGTATGATACGTGTAGGTATGACATAGTTGAAACTTTTACGTTCATGTACATATTGTATATGCATATACAATGTAGTAGAAAGTATGGTATATATGTACATGCTCATGTACATCTTTGATAGTTCCAAAAAAAATACATATATCCCGTTACTACTATGACACAACGGGCACAACAACACAACTTACTCATCGTCACGGTACAGACAGATGGAATGGCCTGTGAAATCGGCGGTGTTGTTGTCCAGTCCAAAATGGTCGAACACGGCTTGCATGGTATGGCGGTGTGGGTCGAGGCCCTGCCAGGTCTTTTTGTCCTCTTCTTTGTACTGGACGGCCCAGGACAAAAACTACACCAAGTGCGCAAGAAGGATCGGTGTAGGGATGAGAATATTAGAATACAGTACCAGCGAGTATCGTTTTCTTTGCGAGAAGAAGTTCGTATAGTGAGAATCAGATTAGGTTGGATAGACGGATGAAGGATGTAGTGGGACGCAGTACATACAGAACAAGTAGATAACAGTACGTTCACGACCAAAAATACTACATGGGATGGGCAAGAAATACATACATACACACACATACATACACATACATACATACATACATACACACACACACGCACGCACACAGACACAGACACACACACACACACACAGAGAGAGAGAGAGAGAGACACACACACACAGAGAGAGAGAGATACAGACACACACACAGACACACACAGACACACACAGAGACACAGACAGACAGACAGATATATATATTTATATATACAATATGTATAAAGTTAAAAATATCACTGCTCACATGCCGTCTGGAATCCTTGTTGGAACACTTTGCAATCGAACTTACTAGCACAGGTACAAGTTGCCACAATTCTGATGACATACCTTTACAACACACACACACACATATATGTATATATATATATATATATCTATATATATCTATATATACATATATATATAAATATAAATATATATATGTATGTATAAAATTTAAAATATCACTGCTCACATGCCATCTGTAATCCTTGTTGGAACACTTTACAATCGAACTTACTAGCACAGGTACAGGTTTCCACAAGTCTGATGACATACCTTTACAAACCGTCTCTTCTCAAAGATGCCCATCAGCGACGTGGACAGAGCCTCGGTCTCAGTCACCGGAACCTATAGACAGAACAACATGGCAGCAATGCCATTTTGAGATTGAAAACATGAATGATTTCGAAGCGGAAAGAACAAATGAAAGCATGCACAGGTCCACGGCACCAGAATCCATTGGACGTGCGCTTAGTAAATGGGACCGATCACGAAATGGCGGTTGATGCAATGCATATCTATGCAGATATGGTACACTGAACAACGCAGACATGGCTGTAGCTATTTGGGGTACGGCTACAGTTTGATACAACGAAGTACGCAACAAATACAAGGTTGCAGCTATTGTAGAGCATACAAAGGTGTGCAGTATGTAAGATCTCGTAACCACCGGAACACTGTAACCCGTCATTCTACTTATAGTGTGAGCACGCGCTTCGTGTGCAGTGTACGAATATATACTTCAGCTGAGTATGGACTGTGGTAAGTCTTCGTGCTGGAGTGTATGATGGCAAAGCGCGCGCATCGTACGTGACTACAGTACGCGATGGATGCATTGTACATCGAGGTTTTCCCTATGATTGTAACTAGTATGGCCAATATGCTGACACACTTGCAGATTGCACGATTAGAGTGAAACAGGACAACGACAATAGATGGAGTTAACCGCCAGAGCATTAAATGGGTGTAGTAGTACTCAGCTGCGCATCGTGCAAACCCGAAGTATGTACATGAACATACAAACCGCATGACAAACGCAGAAAATACCTATTTGGCTATCATA